TACAGTCGTCTCTTATGCTGTCTAAAGAAGGTATTTGAAATAAACAAATCATTTGTCTTGCAGAAATCTATCATTTGTTCTCCAGCATCATTTCTTGTTTTGCTCATAGAATTCTTCAATATTACAAGTTAAGGCTTGAATTTTTTCTTCAGTTTTTCAGCTTGAGAAACGCTGGCTCTGTTCTTTCTTTTTGGATTTCTAACTCTTGGTCTTTGCACATTTTATTGTAATACTTGACTTTGTCTTCTTGAGCCACCCTTTGAAATTTTCTGCTTAGCTCTTTTACCTCCTTTCTTCTGTTTGCTTTAGCATTTCTACAATGGAAAGCTTGTCTTCTTAATAACCTTTTTCTTTCTTCCTATATGATATCTTTGATGTCACCATACAACTCGTCTGGTCTTTTCTTGAGATGCTCTCTTTATTCAGGTGGGATATCTTCAGGGTCATATTTTGGCTCTCATGTACTAGTTTTAATTTTCTTGAGCTTCAACCTGAACTTACATATGAGCAACTGATGGTCTGTTCCACAGTCTGCCTGGTTTTAATTTAATTGATGATATTGAGCTTTTCCACCATTTCTTCCCACAGATGAAGTCAATTCGCTTTATGTGTATTCATCTGGTGAGGTCCATGTGTACAGTCATCTTCTATGTTGTTGAAAAAGGATATTTGCAATGAATAAGTCACTAGTTTTGCAAAATTCTACCATGTGATCTCTAGCATCATTTCTGTCACTAAGGCCATATTTTCTAACTACTGATCCTTCCTTTTTGTTTCCAACTTTTGCATTCCAACCACTAGAAATTATCAATACATCTTGATTGCATGTTTGATCAATTTTACACTGAATAAGTTGGTTGTTGTAGTTGCTTGTTAAGTTCTGTAGAGTCGATTCCAACTCATGATGACCCTGTATAGGGTTTCCAAGACTTGTAAATCTTTGAGGGCACAGAAACCCTAATCTTTCTCCTACTGATCACCTAGTGAATTTGAATCCCAGACCATGTAGCTCAGAGTCCACACTGGCCATCAATGGATTTAGTGGTCGGTGAATTAATTTGACTAATAGTGGCATTAACTGGTCCTTCTTATAGGTGTATGAATATTATCCTATCCCAGACTGCCCTATAGTACTTCAAGTTAGATCCAGAATTGTTCTTTCTGCTGATGAATGTTATGCCATTCCTCTTTATCATCCCAGCATAGTAAACCATATGATTGTCAGATTCAAAATGGCCAACACCAATCCATTTTAGCTCACTAAAGCCTAGGATATCAATCTTTATGTTTTTCATTTCATTTCTGACACCCTCTAATTTTTCTAAATTCATACGTCATACATTCCATGTTCTGTTGATTAATGGATGTTTACACCTGTTTCTCCTCATTTTGAGTTGTGCCCCATGAGCAAAAAAAGATCCCAAAAGTTCTATTCCATTTTCATCATCAGTCAACGCTTACTTTGACCAATCGCACTTTGAGGGCCTTCCAACCTGAAGGTCTCATCTTCCAGCACCATATCTTACAATATTCTGCTACTATTCATAATGTTTTCATTTTTTGATGCTATACCTGACCATGACAATGACAGTTCTGCTGGCATTCATAAGATTTTCAGTGACTAAATGCACAGAAGTAGTCTGCCATCCTTCTTCCTAGTCTTTCTTAGGCTGGAAGCTCAGCTGAAACCTGTTCACCATTGGTGACCCTGCTGGTACTTAAAATACCTGTGGTGTTATTTCCAGCATCACAGCAACACACAAGCTATGGTGGTAAAGAAATATGAAAGTACTTTTAAAAATTATTATCATTTACGATTAGCACAACACACATCCAATATCTTGGAATAGAAATAAATCCAAATAGGTTCTAATTTATTCACATCTCACATCATGACTCTACAAATTAATTTATTCTCTTCTTTAAAATCCATAAAGATGAAGTGATTGGCTTACACGCTTTCAAGAGGGAGCCTAGATCTAGAGGGTGCGGAGGAAGTTAGAATCTCCACTGAGTAGTATCCAATCAGTCTGGGTGGGGCTGATGAAAGGAGGTGGTGATAGGTCTTTTGTGGTACAATAATGAAAAATTGTTATCAGGACTGACTGTGAGGGTTGGAAATGTAAAGGTAGATGTTTTGTAGCAAAAGGAGTGCTTGACTTTGCAGTCCAGAAGCGGAGGTCCCTGGAACCATCAAGAGAGAAGAGTGGAGTGCAGGACCCTACCCAGAGAAACAGTGACTCCAGAAATGGAGGCAAAGACATGACGTGGAGAGATGGAGCAGCTGGAAACTCTAGACCCAGAGAGGGAGAGGGGCTGTGTGCTGATGACTGGGGGCAGGCTTGCAGGGTATACCCTTTGGTTGGCTGATGATGCATGGAGGGGATTTCATGGCAATGAAATGATATACGATAGAATGAATGTAAAACTAATGCTCTCCCATGTAACCTATCACATAATTCACAATAAAACATTTAAAAAAATCCATAAAGATTACCGCTCCAATGTTAGCTTTGTCAGAACTCATGCATGATCTTTACCTAATTCAGAACTATAATAGTCATGTATTATCCACGGAAACACAGGGTACTGGGAGAGGTCATTGCAGCTCCGGTCAGCCAGGTTGTTGAGGTGCAGCAGGTACTGGTAGTTAGACAGGTGCCCTCGCTGCCACTGCAGCATGTAACTCTCAGCAGTGTGCTCGGCCACATGGTGCTCTGAAGGAAAAAAAAGGCCAGGGTGTCAGCTGCTTACCTTTGCAAACAGTTGGCCATTTTTAATGAGCAGATGTAAACCCTTTGATACACGTTTGAAAAATACACTTTAAGTAACAGTCTAACTGTTCTACTAAATATGAACACCTCTAATAGCCAAAGGAGAAAATTACTAAAGCATTGAATTATTATACAATCTCTAAAATATGGCACAATGTTTTCAAATATGAAAGTATAGAATACTTAAGATATTTGTTGTTGTTGCTGTTAAGTGTGTTGAGTCGATTCCAACTCATAGAGACCCTGCGTAGGGTTTCCGAGTAGCTGGTGTAATTTGAACCGCCAACCCTGCAATTCAAACCGACCTTGTGGTCCAGTGCATTATCTCACAGCACCACACCAGGATTCCACTTAAGTATTTACATGGTAATATATGATATTAGATTACATACAGTCTACAATATATCTAAGGAAAAACATTTCCAACGTGCTTGAGTTTCACTGCCTTTAAGAAACCATGGCCATCTATGAAAACTTATTTCCTAGATTTTTATGTGATTATCAAAATGAAACAATTGTTCAGTTTTCTTTTAGTGACTACATATTACTTATACATTTGAGAAATAAGAAATATAAAATGAACTGTTAAATAAGAAAATGATGATTTGGCAGGAAAGACATATTTCTTAAACTGGAAGAACCAGAAAGGCCTTTCTCAAGACTATCTCAGTAAAAACAGTATCATATATAACATAAGACTAATGATAACTGTCCTCTCAGAACATAAACAGAAGTCTACTGCCCTAGAAGTAGATTTTCCATTTTGTTTAGATTTTTTTTTTTTTAAACTTTTAACATCAAGCAACTTTTCTAATTCATTTGTTGATTCAATATTTACTCTTATTTACTTTTATCAAAAAACTATCCTCTTTAATCAGCTCTCAGCTTCAAAATGGAGCATGTGGTGGCTCCATCCGATACATACTGGACTATGAACCACACGCGGTTTGAGCCTGCCAACTTCTCCATGGGAGGAAAATGAGGCTTTCTGCTCCCCTGAAAATTTAAAGTGCTAGAAACCCTACACAGGGTCGATATGAGTTGGAACTGACTTGACAGCACTTGATAATAACAAGGCTTTGAAAATCATAATGCTTATAATACTCATTTTCTATTCTTGAAACACCACAGAAAAAGTATAAACAATATTAAGATTAAATTCAAAGAGAACTGATAGCCTTATATTACACAGACTTTTTAGATTATGGCAAGTTTTTATATTACAAAATTTAGGACTCACCACGAAAGTTGACTTTTTTGTTGTGATTTTGTTAAGAGTTACAAAAATAAAAATTTTTAAAATTATATCAGGAGGCAGGAGATAGGAACAAACTTGTACCAAAGCTGTATTTATGCTTCAAATTAACCTTAGCTTAACTAAGGGGGGGAGGAGGGGGGAGGTAAGTTTTAGCCTACTATAAAATTAGTATCTTATTGAAAGAAAATGAGAAATTCTTGAGGGAAAGTTTCATTTATAAAGGATATGTGCTTCATAATAAAAATCATGGTCACATCAATGAAATCACAAAATCATTCTATTTAGTCATCTGTCACCTTTTAAAATAAGAATTTAGCCATGCAGTTTAGTATCATGCTTATTATACTTGAAAAGAAAAATATAGATGTTCTCTCTAAAATAAAGGTGAATATTTTATCTTTTCCAAGGAAGAATGAGGAGGTATCAATGGAATTCATCTCAGGGTACTACATTGACCGTAAAAGGCTCTTGTGTTGCTTTTGCTTTGTTTCTTGGCTTTGTGATTATGACCACCATTAATCATCACTGGATAACTCACTCCCACATAAGCAAACTGAGTCGTGGCTTTCATAAACTAACAGATGTGATTAAACATAAAAATAATTGGATGTATTCTTCATAACCCATTTAATTTAGAGGCTAATGGAATATTTAAAAATATGTAAATATACAAGGATCTGTTAAAAAGTATTGTTACAAAATCACAGAAACCTTTATTAAACAAAAAATCAAAATGTGAAGCTCTTGTGTCTTGTCATAGCCTCCATCTAGGTCTATACATTCTGAAGGTGTTTCCATGTCTCTAACCCTTCTCTGGGCTCCTAGTGTGGCACTCTAGGATAATTACTCGACCATAAGGTCAGTTTGGACTGAAAGGTCAGAAGTTCAAACTCACCAGATGCTCCTCGGAAACCCTATACAGGGTCGTTATGAGCCCAAACTGACTCAACAGCACTTAGCAACAACAACAAACTTTCTCTGGTGTGGCGATGTAGGATAAGAACTAGACATCAAGATCAGTTTGACCAGCAAGTTCGGTGGTTCAAATTCATCAGCTGCGCCTCAGAAACCCTATACAGGGTCACTAAAGAATTCTGTGCTCTTCAATTTGCACCATGTCAAAATGGCAGTTTGGGCATGCTCAAGGGACTCTCAGTAAGTTCTTGTGAATGTTGTTTGAGTTTGGGGAGTAAGGGCCCTGGCGGCACTGTGGGTTAGTATTAGGCTGCTAACTAGAAGGTTCGAACCCACCAGCTAGCTGCTCTGCAGGAGAAAGATGAAGCAATCTGTTTCCATATTTACAGCTTCGGAAAACCTCAAGAACAATTCTATTCTGTTCTTTAGGGTTGTTAGGAGTCAAGTGACTAATGGCTGTGGGTTTGAGTTTGGTGAACAAAAGGAAAACTGAAGGGGCAGTATCAGAGCTACAGGCTGGATGGGGGAAGGTTTCCAAACATAATTCTCATAGGAATAGGATGACCCTTGCTACCCTCAAAGAATGAGCAAGTGCATAGTTATGATGGGAAAAAAAAAAAAAAAAAAAAAAACGCCTTGGTACAACTTTTCTGGCTTTTCTTAATGCAATTTTCAATTTTCTTACAACCACTCCATAATAAAACCCCCAAATCACTCTATGTCGCTTGAGAAAAATCTATCAATATCACACCACTGGAATTCCAAAAAACAGTTGCCATAATCTTCTGAGCTGAATTCACTATCTTGGATTTAACAGGCCCAGCAGAGTCCTCAGAAGCCACTGTTTTGACTGGACCATTTTAAAAGAAGGCACCCTAATGAGGCTACAGCAAGTATATTACTGAAAGAATTCGCCAGCAAGCATCCACTCATCACAAAAACATGTTTAAACACATTTTGTTTGGAATAAAGCCATGCATGTCTGAACTAAAACTCTAGTAGCAATGGTTTTTGACTTACTGAGTTTTTAAAACACACAGTTGTAATAAACTATTATTAAACTTTTGTTAACTATTTAATGATTAAAAGAAATAACAGTAATTGGAACCACAGAGAAGCAATTCCAGAGATTACATTTTTCTTCAAACTCTACTCCCAGTTACTTAGGAGTTGCACGACCTTTAGACAACAGATACAATGAAGGGTGAGCATCAAACCTAGATAGGTGGCAATATAATAATAGAGGTCATTTCTGTCTTGAGGTTCATAGAACTTTAAGTAGATGTCAGAGCACAGATCATCTTCTGAGCAAAATACTTCCAAGCCCTATAAATTCAGAAAGAAAATAATAAGCCAAATAGCACTGTATTCACCTTCCAATCCCAACATAAGCTACATAATTGCAAGTCTTTTAATTAAACAGTTATGTTTCTGATTTGCTAATCTTGTCTTCATATTTTCCAGCTAAATTCGATTTACTTGAATGTACATTTCAAACTTCCCAAGAACAAGACATGTACCTCAGTTAAACTTTATAAAGTTCTCTTTGGTGCTGAATATTTTTTATAGTAGGTTTTGAGAACTTATTATTTTAAAATTAAAAACTAGCTAATGCATGTCTTCAGATCTTTTGTTCAAACAACAACAAAATTTTGTTATTTTTTATAATGAATTAAATGATAATTAGATGGACTTTAGTAAATTTATAATGAATAACCCATTCAATTAATGTCCTGGTTATTTCTAAGGAAACCATTAGCTTTTATGACTTGTGCTGTTACAGATGAGATACAACAGAAACAGACAAAAAAGAATGAATGCTTCTGCCTCCCTGATCCTCTAACAGCACTAGAAAAGGAAAAATAGGGATAATAGTTACAGTATAGAAACATAAAAATGAGATGCCTAAAATTCCACAATGCTTTTGAAAAACACCAAGTTACTGGCTAATATTCAATAGAGAAAAAAAAATGTATACTGATACCAAATTAAAACATTAGGGGATCAAACCTTATTTGGAAGTTCCTTTCCAAAGTCGTTGTGTAGGAACAATGTGTGTATCTGCTTATTCAGATCTGCCTATAGAATTTAAATGATTATTTTGCCCTTTCTTCTCCCTCACCAAGCTCAAAGGTAGGATTAATCTAAATTAAAGGTGAATATACAATTCACAGTAATTTTCTTCCAAATTTTACTTTGTAATCTCATACTGTGAGCAGGGTGGTGGCAAGCAGTACTGGACTGGTGCTTCATATTAGATTCCAGCCCCAGGCCCCAGATTCAGAGAAAACAGGACTGAGGTATTCAAGGGCACTCCAGCGCTCTTGCTCTTAGTGCCAGAAACATTTTCACAGTAACCCGCTTACAGAAAGGAGTTATTAGGTGCCTTCGAGTTAGTTCCAACCCATAGCAACCCTCTGCGCAACAGAACGAAAAACTACCCGGTCCTGTGCCATCCTCACAATTGTTGCTATGCTACAGCCCACTGATGCAGCCACTGTGTGAATCCATTTCACTGGGGGTCTTCCTCTTTTTGCTGACCCTCCACCTTACCAAGCATGATGACCTTCTCCAGGGACTGGTCCCTCCTGATAACATGTCAAAAGTATGAGAGAGAAAGTCCCACCATCCTGGCTTCTAAGGGAACATTCTGGCTGTACTTCCAACACAGATTTATTTAGACTTCTGGTAGTCCAGGGTACTTTTACTATTCTTCTCAAGCACCATAATTCAGATGTATCAACTCTTCTATAGCCTTCCTTATTTATTGTCCAATTTTCACATGCATATGAAGCAATTAACAACAACAACAAGGCAACTGAAACAATACCATGGCTTGGGTCAGGTGTACCTTAGTCCTCAGTATTTTTGTTTGTTTTTTCAAGTTTTCATTGTGAATTGAGTGATAGTTTACATGGGAGAACATTGGTTTTATACTCATTGTTTCATTTCAATGATTACAATCCCCTCCGTGCACCATCATTTAACAGTCTTTGCTTATATTCCATCTGTTTTTTTGTTTTGTTTTGGGGGGTGGGGGGATTTACACCAAAACACTCAGGAATATATAATCATTTCAACAACCAAAGGGTACATTCTCCAATTCTGCATCCTAGGCAAAACTGGCATCTTTAAAAAGGTCTTTTGCAGCAGATTTGCCTAATGCAATTGTTTATTTTCTTGACTGTTGTTTCCATAAGTGTTGACAGTGATTCCAAGAAAAATGAAGTCTTTGACAACTTGGGTCTTTTCTCAATTTTTCATGAAGTTATTTATTGACCAGTTTGGAGGATTTTCATTTTCTTTACATTGAGGTGCAGTCTATATTAAAGGTGGTATTCTTAGATTTTCCTCAGAATGTTACTCTTTCATAAATGTCTACCTCATCCAAAAATAAAAGCAGCAAGAATTGGAGTCCATCTGCTTAGAGCTTAGCAGGCAAGCACTTTTCTGTTAGTCCTGTGGTTGAACTGAAAATATGACAATCATTTAGTTAGGAAGAATTGACATTCCATTTAAACTTACCAAAGGCATGAGGCCGTGCCTCCTTTTGTAAATACGGCGGACATCCTGGAGTGTTATCTGGACCACAGGTTTCTTTAAAACAGAAAGACAATCTCTGACATCAAGGTGCGGGCACAATTAGAAGCTGTAGTATCAGAAATGACCATATCTGGCCTTCTTGATAGGTTACAAATAAGTGGACACTTGGGAAGGAAGTGGCAAGAACAAAGCACACCTGGTTTCACAGTGCAGTTTGTCAGATCTCACAAACTTCACGAGCTTGGCAAGTCTCCTCCAACCCCAACTCCTATCATCCCAGAAAATATGGTCACACAATCACTTGTTTTTCAGATTATTGCAAGGTTACTAAGTGATAAAGATTTTTCATATCTTTCATAGAACCAACTCAACGGCACTTAACACAATTTTTAAGGATATGTTTTGATCTCCTTTGTTGTTACTAATTGCTGTCAAGTCTGTTTTGACTTACAGAAACTCTATATAGGGTTTCTGAGGAGTGGCTGGTGGGTTTGAACCACCAACCTTGCAGTTCAAACCAACCTTGTGGTCGAGTACTTATCGTACAGTGCCACACCAGGATTCCAAAATTTAATCTCTTTAGAAATTACAAAGTACTAAAGCTCATAAGGAGTCTTGGTGTGGCGCTGTAGGATAAGCACTGAACTGTTAATCACCAAGTTGGTGGTTCAAACCCACCGGCTGTTCCTCAGAAACCCTATACAGGGTCACTATGAGTTGGAACTGACTTGATGGCACTTCACAACAAGGCTAATAAATAACTACTATAAAGCACTGTCTGTACGGAACAGCTGAGGATTCTAGATTCATGGAGGGAGATGGGATGCATGCTGGTGGCTGGGGGACAGGGTGTGCCCTTTGGCTGTTTGAATGACTATATATTCCTGAGTGTTTTAGTGCAAATGCAAAACAAACAAACAAACAAACAACCAGAGGGAATATAGAAGCAAATACTGGTGAATGATGAAGCATGCAGGGGATTATAATCATTGCAGTGAAACAAACTGATGTTCCCCCATGTAAACTATCACTCAATTCACAATAAGAACTTTAGAAAGGAAAAAAAAAAAAGCACTGTCCCTACAGTTTTTCTTAATCTACAAGAAGGAAAAATATCTTGCATCTCTCCAGACTTAAGACATTAGTGGAAGAAGAATGGGGCTAGAAAGGCACTGAAATCAGCTAAAAAGCAACACTTCCACGTGTCCTCCTGAGTGGGAGTGAGAAAGCACGAGCAGGGACTGGGATGTCCAGCTGGGGAAAGTACCTTAGAGACCCCAAGTCAAGGATGCTGGCCCAGAGATCTGGGAATGGAATACATTCTCATAAAACAGACCCTGAAGCATGGCACATGCTCAGGAATTTTCCAAAACTTTTAATCCAAGCTATATAACAGCAGTGGCCAAGCTAATTATCACACCTAGAGAATGCCCATCCAGCAAGGTGTGTTATGTGCCCTAGAAGACATGGGGAACCTGATCTTTCATTTAATGGGTACCAAAGAGCTCTGGGAGTATAGTGGTTATGAGTCGGGTTGCTAACCTCAAGGTCAGCAGTTCGAAACTACCAGCTGTTCCACGCAAGAAAGATGAGGCTTTGAGCTCCCGTAAAGATTTATAGCCTCGGAAACCCTATATAGGGTCACTATGAGTCGGAATCGACTCCATGGCACACCACCACCATAATTATTATTTTTCACTTAGGAAAGTATAAGATGTTTTCATGACATATAATGACAACCAGTCTGAAGAATTTCCTGGATGTCATTTTCCACAGCCGAAAACCCAGATTCGTTTAGCTGCTCTGCAAGGGGCCCAGTGTACTATCTGAGTGCATTTGGGGCTCTGTTCTTTTTTAATGAACCCCTTTAATAGCAGCAGTATCTAAAAAAGCTACAAACCTCAAACGTTTTAGGGCAGAAATTTGAGTTAATTTCACTTTGTGGACTAACAAGTCTGAAACAAACAAACAGCAACAATGAAAGTTTCAGGTGCATAGGTTCTGACTCATGACAACCCTGTGTTAGAGTAGAACTGTACGCCACAGAATTTTCAAGACTTTAACTTCAAAATCAGATCACCAGACCTGTCTTACAAGGTACTTCAGGATGGGTTTATGCTTACACTGCCAACCTCTCAGATAGTAGCCTCATTGTGAAATATATGATTGTTTCCACAATCAAACCGGAGTTCTACTGTGAGGCCTGATGCCAGCATCCTGCATGTCCCTCTGGACTCCACAGTACTTCACTGGGAAACAATCAGATTTATTGATTATATTTGTAATGAAGCAGAATTGAGAACTACTATTTTGTTGTTGCTGAGTGCTGTGGAGTTGGCTCCCACTCATAGCTACCCTGTATAGGATTTTTGAGGAGCAACTAGTGGTTCTGAACTGCTGACCTACTGGTTAGCAGTCCAGTGCTTATCCTACAGTGCCACACGAATTCCCACAGAAAAAATATAGAACCTCCATTTCCTCCTTATTTCTAATGTATTTCACTAGTCTCTTCCAGAAGTACTTTTCCATACAGAGGTTTACACCTCCACCAGATTTTTGCTAAGTTTAGGACGGGCAGAATTTCCCTCAATAGTACTGAGAATGCCCTAAAATGACAGACAGAGGGTCAGAGAAGCTCAAATTTGGGAGAATGTGCACTGGATGATGTGGGGACTTGTAACGCAGGTGCTGGGGACAGACAGGATGATCCTACAAATGTAAAGTCAGGCTCATGGGAAAGAGAGTGCAAAGCGAGCGCCGGAGTGCGCTCTTGCATCCTTACCGGGTGCCCATTGAGGGGCTGGAAATACAGGTTTGCATCAGTGATGCACACGTGCCCAGGGTTGGTCACCAGAGGCGTCACCATCTCTGCCTTACATTCCATGTGCAGCTTTTCAGAAATACTCTGGAATCTGAGCATGTATTTTTCAGCGAAAGCAAAAAAAAAAATAAATTAGAAATTAATCTAAGTCCATTCTCTTCATGCTTTAATAACTTAAATGTTATGATGCAAATAACTAAATTATCAACATCATATGCCAAGCACACTTAGTTAACTAAATGAATCTCTCCTATAGGCAGTATATAGGCAGCCATGGGCTGCCAAAAGAACTAACAGATCTGTTTTGGAAGAAGTGTAGCCAGTGTGCTCCTTGGAGGCCAGAATGGCCAAACTTCATCTCTCATACTTCATACTGTCAGGAGGGACCAGTCGCTGGAGAAGGATATCATGTTTGGTAGGGTGGAGGATCAGAGAAAAAGAGGAAGATCCCCAGTGAGATGGATTGGCAAAGTGGCAGCATCAATGGGCTCAAGTATGGCAACAATTGTGAGGTTAGCCCAGGACTGGGCAGTGTTTCATTCTGTTGTATATAGGGTTGCTATGAGTTGGTAATGACTCGATGGCACCTAACAACAACAACATAGGTAGTACGAATAGTGGTGTGGCGCTATGGGATAAAGTACTGGTCCGCAAGGTTGGTCTGACCCAGAAAGTCAGCAGTTCAAACTCACCAACCGCTCTTTGGAAACCCTATGCAGGCCTGCTATGGGTAAAAAATGACTTGAAGGCACTTAACAACAACATAGACAGTATAGAGTCTAGGTGTGGTACTATAGGATAAGCACTGAATGGCTAACCACAAGGTCAGTGGTTCAAATCCACCAGCCATTCCTTGGAAGTCCTATATAGGGTCGCTTAGCAACAACATAAGTAATTAAAGCTTCATAGGATAAGTACTGGAGTCCTGGTATGCTGCTGCAGGATAAAGCACTGGACCACGAGGTCAGTTTAAATCACAAAGTTGACGGTTCAAATTCATCATCTGCTCTTTAGAAACCCTATACAGTGTCTCTACGAGTTGGAACCAACTTGATGGCACTTAACAACAAGGATACGTACTGTACTGCAAACCACAAGGTTCATCGGGAGAAAGATGAGGCTTTCAGCTCCTGCAAAAATTTTAAAAGCCTTGGGAACCCTGTACAGGGTTACTATGAGTCAGAACCAACTTGAAGACACTTAACAATAACAACAGACATAGAGATCAAATACTACAATCTTCAGTATGGATTGCACCCTAATGTAAAGCAAATGAAAACCCTCACAACTGGACCAAAAACCTCATGGTCAATGGAGAAAAGGACTTCATTTTGTTTAGGTCCAAAATTGGAGTTCATGAAAGCAACAGGACATATTGCATTAGGTAAATCTGCTACAAAAGACCTCTTTAAAGTGTTAAAGAGCAAAAATGTCTCTTAGAGTATGAAAGTGCACCAGACTCAAGGTATTTTCAAGGTGGTTCTGCAGGATGAGCACTGGACTGTTATCTATAAGGTTGGCAGTTCAAGCCCACCAGCTGCTTCTTGAGAGAAAGACAAGGCTTTCTGCTCCCATAAAGATATACAGCTTCGGAAACCCTGTGAGTTGAAATCACCTCGATGGCAGTGAGTTTTTGTTTTGTTTTTTTCTAATATGCGTGTGAAAGTTGGACACTGGATAATGAAGGCAGTAGGAAACTTGATACATTTGAATTGTTGTTGGTGAAGAATACCAATAGTGCGATGGACTACCAAAAGAACAAACAAATCTGTCTTGGAAGAAGCACAGCCAGAATGCTCTTCAGAAGCAAGGAGGGTGAGACTCTGTCTCATTTCACTTTTTAGTCATGTTATCAGGAGGGACCTATCCCTGAAGAAGGTCAGCATGCTTGGAAAAACGGAGGCTAAGAGAAAAAGAGGAAGACCCCTAACTAGATGGACCGACACAGTGACAGCAGCCATGGACTCAAACTTAACAACTGTGGAAGATGGTACAGGATCAGGCAGTCTTTTGTTCAGTTGTGCAGAAAGATGCTATGAATCAGAACTGACTTGATAATACCAAACATCAGCAGATACAACAGATACTAAAAGTACATATAACAATGGCTAACAAGAACATAAAATGATGCTCAACATGATTAGATGTGAGGGAAATTAATATCAAAATCACAATGGGATACCATTTCACTTCTACTAGAATAGTTATTTAAAAAACAAATAAACAAAAACAAAGCACAACTAGTGTTGACAAAAGGAGTCCTGGTGTGGTACTGGAGTGTAAGCACTTGACCACAGGTTGGTTTGAATCACAAGACTGGCAACTTTAAACTTACCAGATGCTCCCTGGAAGCCCTGTACAGAGTTGCTATGGGTCAGAATTGACGCAATGGCACTTAACAACAAAAGACAAAGATGTGAAAAAAATGGAAACATGTATACTACTGATAGGCATATAAAATATTGCAGTCATTCCTACACCTATGGATGCAGTAGCTCAAAAGAGGAAACAAGTCCTTACTGCAAGAATCATTCCCACCCCCTCCACACAGTGAGTAGACAGGGATGGACAACTTTGACATTGGCTAACCAAAATGGGGGAGGGGAAGGGGTACAAAGGCAAGAAGTGACTGGCTTACAAGCTTTCAAGAGGGAACCTAGATCCAGAGGGCGTGGAGGAAGGTAGACTCTCCAGTGAGTAGTATCCAATTTGTCTAGGCTGGGCTGATGAAATGAAATGCAGATAGGTCTCTTGTGATACAATTGTGAATAACTGTTATCAGGATTGATTGTGAGGGTTGGAAATGTAAAGGTAGATGCTTTATAGCAAGGAGGGGAGTGATTAACTTTCCAGTCTAGGAGCGGAGGTCCCTAGGACCATCAATGGAGAAGAGCAGAGAGCAGGACCCTACCCAGAGAAGCAGTGATGCCTGAGATGGAGGCAGAGGAGATGACATGGAGAGATGGAGCAGCTGGGGACTTGAGATCCAGAGAGAGAGAGGGACTGTGTGTTGACAACCGGGGGTTGGGGGTAGGCTTGCAGGGTATACCCTTTGGTTGGTTGATGATAATGGAGGGGATTGTAACCATGGCAATCAAACGATATACAATAGAATGAATGTAAAACTAATGTTCTCCCATGTAAACTATCACATCATTCACAACAAAACATTTATTTAAAATATATATATATTGCAGTCGTTGTAGAAAACAGTTCCATGATTCCTCAAATAGTAAAACATAGTATTGACATGTGGCTGTGGTAGTTGAGTGCTGTCCAGTTGGTTCTAACTCAGCAACCCTGTATAGGGTTTCTGAGGAGAAGCTGGTTAGCTTGAACCTCGGACCTTGCAGTTCACACTGACCTTGCAGTGCAATGCATTAGTCGACAGCACCACACGAGGACTCGAGAGTATTAACATATGACCCCAGAAATTTTACTCCTAGTATGTACCAAAAAGAATTTAAAAACAGGTATTCAAAATACACTCAGGTCTATTTGTTTAATGTATGTCAGCCTCCCCAAACAAGGCCCAGACATGAGTAAACCTTGTCTCTTTTGTTCACCACTGAACAGAATTGTGTAACCCCTAGTGCAGTATGTGGCACACACTGTTTGTCATACTGTGGTGACTTGTGTGTTGCTGTGATGCTGGAAGCTATGTCACTAGTATTTTAAGTATCAGCAGGGTCAGCCATGGTGGGCCTGTTTCAGGGGAGCTTGCATACTGAGGATAAGGACAGACAACTTCTGACCATTAGCCACTGAAAAGCTAATGAATAGCAGCAGAACACTGTCTAATATAGCCCCAGAAGATGAACCCCTCAGACTGTAAAGCTCTCAAAATATAACTGGAAAAGAACCACCTCATAACAGTAGAGTTGACCTTAATGCTGAAGATGAAGCAAAGCTTTCAGGACCTTCGTCTACTAATGGAGCACAACTCAAAATGAGAAGTAACAGCTGCAAATATCCATTAACTATCAGAACATGGAATGTACAAAATATGAATCTAGTAAACTGGAACATGTCAAAAACAAAATAGGATACATAAACATTGATATCCGAGGTATTTAAGTGTTGACAAAGATGTGAGGAAACTGAAACTTGGATGCTGCTGATGGGTATGTAAAATTGTGCAGTTATTGTGGAAAATAGTTCCATGGTTCCTCAAATAGTAAAACATAGTATTGACATGTGGTTTTGGTGGTTAAATGCCCTCAAGTCGGTTCCAACTCACAGCAACCCTGTATAGGGTTTCCAAGGAGCAGCTGGTGGGTTTGAACTGCTGACCATGTGGTTTGCAGTTCAGTGCTGTTCCTACAATGCCACACTTAGGCATTAGTGAGCTGAAATGGACTGGCATTGGCTATTCTGAATTGGAAAATAGTATTGTTTACTATGCTGAGAATGACAAATTGAAGAGGAATGATGTCACATTCATCATCAAAAAGAGCAGTTCAAGGGGCTCTTGGTCTCCTTTGGTGACATAAGAGTACCCCCTCCCAGGTTTACTCTCAATAAACCTGCCTACTGTTGAAGCCCCCCACCCCCCCAAAAAAAAGAGCAGTTCAAGATCTATCTTGAAGTATAGTCCTGTCTATGATAGGATAATATGCATACATCTAGCGTAGTGGTTACAAATCGGGCTGTGAACCGCAAGGTCAGCAGTTCGAAACTACCATCTGCTCCGCGGGAAAAAGATGAGGCTTTCTGCTCCCGTAAAGATTTACAGCCTCAGAAACTCTGTTCAGGGTCGCGACCGACTCGACGGCACTTAACAACAACAACAATAGTTAACATCAAGAGTCCTGGTGTGGCACTGTAGGATAAGCACTCGAGCACAAGGTTTATTTGAACTGCAAAGGCAGTTCAAACTCAACAGCTGCTCCTGGAAACCCTATACAGGGCCACTATGGGTTGGAATCGACTTGCTGGCACTTAACAACAACACCAATAGTTAATGTGACTATTATTAACATTTATCCACCAAGTACTAAAGTCCATGATAGAGAAATTGAAGAACTCTACTAAGGTAAGCAGCTCAAGCTCACCAGCCATTTATGAGAAAACCTCTATGGGTCTTTATGG